GGCCTCAAAGAACATGCACCTTCCTGAAATTATTTCACCTCGTTTGTGTTCTAAAAGGCAACTTGGGTTCACTTCCATGCATGCAAATTAATCTGCTCTGCAGATAATTTAGGGCATGGTGTGCACTCAGATGCACCTCCAAGCACACAGTCAATTGCAAACAATGCAGGGCTGACACTTAATCAACACTGCACATCGGAGTGCAGGTGCTAACCATCTCCACTGCATTGTTTTCAACTGAATTTGCCCACGGCTGAGTGTTAGAAGCAGTTCGGTGCAAATATTATTTGTTTATATGCATTTGCACTTTACAAACAGCAGGCAGCAATCCCTAATTCCTAAGGAGCTTTCAGTCTAAAATAGACAAGAGTGTTACAATGGGGGGAAAGAGTGTTCAGCAAAGTCCTCCTCAAAGTAGACACACTAAAATGAATGAACCTAAGTTATCCATGCCCTTTAACGTCAGTGGGTCTTCTCTGAGTAGGATTAGCGTTGACTACCACCCTGTGTGATCATGTCAGTTATATGGCTTACTCACAATGTCATAGAGACCAAGGGGACAATCTACAATCATCCTGGAAATGTGAGTTTTGAGGAGAGGCTTGGAGGAATTGAGGCAGGTGGTGGACCAGAGGCATTTTGAGAGTCAGGTACAGGCAGAAGGAGCAGTATGGGAAGATGGGTGGAGCTGTTTCAGGCAGCAGGAGACCTTTGGATGGCTGAGGGAGGCTGGTGTAGATACATAACATAAGCACTCAGTTGCGCACATCAAGTACTTTGGCATATGCAGCAGAACTCTTTCACACAGTTGTAATATTGATTGATCACCACTTAGCATTATCAGTTTTGTAAGTTGCGTTCATTATGACACCTGACTATGTAATTTACATTTCTGTAACCAAGACGTGATTAAGCCCAAGGTGGGCTTCTACCTTTTCCCCATACATATTTAGATCTTTCTGTACCCCAACCAGCTCAGGCAGATTACACTGAAATCTTACCTTCATATATCCTATCAGGCAGCTTCGTAGATTGCATTAGGTTGAATTGCCCAATCTCCATCCACTCATTTGGTTTCGTAAGTGAGTACTGCATGTCGGTCTTCCACATCAGATGCACCACCCTGTTTCGCTGTTCTCCAGACTGTTTCTTGCAAGTTATATTATCAAGGCTGAAAATGTCCTGCATAGCCAACTAGCGTGCATACTAATGACTGTTCAAAATGTTTTTCCGTACTCTATTCAAACTTACCGGGTGCTGAGGACCAATCTTGGACCTTGAGCATGAAGTTCACTATAGACACTGGCTGCTCACTATAGACACCAGGAATCCCAGAAGGATAGGATACCCGTTAAATGCAATTTGCTCTGTGTCATACCTGATTTGGCATCTCCTCTGTCTCTTCTATATCTTCCTAATTTATCTGTCTATATAATTTATATCCCGTTTTCCCTCTCGAGTTAGGCACATCATAGCAACCAACGCTGAAGCTCTCACACGCTCTTAATAAGAATACAGCTTGGAGTCTCCACTTCCCCCCACCCAAAGGGAGTCATGCTGTCTTTTTTTTTTTTAATACTTTTTTATTAAGGTTTTAAACAAACAAAAAAGAAAAACAACACACACAAAAAAAATACAAAACTTAACAATAAAAACACAAAACATAACAATTAAAAACAAACTCTCTTTTCCATTTCCAATTTTAAATTACTTATTTTCTGGACTTCCTCATACCTCCCTCTTTTGTATTCCAGTCCACATTATTTGTCCAGCAGTTTCTTTTCCACTTTTTTAATCTCAATCTTTAATTTAATAAAACGTTAAAATATATAACTTCAACTTTTTTAAACCTAATCCTTGATCTTAATGTCATATAGCTTTAAATTTTTCCCTTTTATTATCAAATTTCCATTTCTTTAAACATCTTTAATCTTGATCTTTAATCTTAATCTATCCTTAACTTTAACCTGTACAGCTGGAAACCACTTGTTTTCAGTCCAACATCACTCTAACATTCCTTAATTTTGCAGTGTTTCTGAAGATAGTCTTTGAATTTCTTCCAGTCTTCCTCCATCGACTCTTCTCCCTGGTCACGGATTCTACCAGTCATTTCCGCCAATTCCATACAGTCCATAAGTTTCATCTGCCATTCCTCCAGCGTGGGAAGTTCTTGTGTCTTCCAATACTTTGCGATGAGTATTCTTGCTGCTGTTGTTGCATACATAAAGAAAGTTCTATCCTTTTTTAACACCATTTGGCCTACTATGCCCAGGAGAAAGGCCTCTGGTTTCTTGGGGAAAGTATACTTAAATACCTTTTTTAATTCATTATATATCATTTCCCAGAAAGCCTTAATCTTTGGGCACGTCCACCAAAGGTGAAAAAATGTACCTTCAATTTCTTTACATTTCCAACATTTGTTATCGGGCAAATGATAGATTTTCGCAAGCTTGACTGGGGTTATGTACCACCTGTATATCATTTTCATAATATTCTCTCTTAAGGCATTACATGCCGTAAATTTCATACCTGTGGTCCATAACTGTTCCCAGTCAGCAAACATAATGTTATGACCAACGTCCTGTGCCCATTTAATCATAGCCGATTTTACCGTTTCATCTTGAGTATTCCATTTCAGCAGCAAGTTATACATTCTTGACAAATTCTTGGTATTGGGTTCTAACAATTCTGTTTCTAATTTGGATCTTTCCACCTGGAAGCCAATTTTCTTGGGGAGTCATGCTGTCTTGTCTACTAAAGATGATGGTCTCTGTTGGTGCTTTTTTGGAGAAGGCATTCCACATTGAGAAAAGTCCTCCTCTTTCCCTTTGCTTGTTCTAGAATTGTTCATACCTGTGAATGACTCTCTTCCTCCTCAGCCTAGAATTGGCAGAGCTCTTGTGTTTGTGGCTGCTGCTGTTTCAGCAGGGCAGCGGGGAGCACAAAATGCCTTCTGCTTCCAAAACTTGACCGCAGCATAACCATAACTTTTTGTGGTGGGAAGATATGTGTGCAAATGCCAGAGCTGGGCAACCATCTTTATATCTTTAGATAACAGGCAAAACCATTTCTCTATAACCAGGCCTTTGGCTGATTCCATGGCCTTTTAAATATGTTTGTGGGTAGGGGGCGATTGGTTTGTTCTTGTTTTATTATACATTTCGTGTTCTCATTTTGAATTTTTATGCTGTGAACCACCCTGTGGTCTTCAGATGAAGGGCAGTATTCAAATTTAATAAATAATAATAAAATTTCCTGGATGCAGGTCTATGGCTGAAGCTTTTAGCCCCGCTGTACTTTAAGCGGCACAGAATAGCTGCAGTGTAGTGTTGTCAGCAAGAGTTAGTTGTGTCATTAAAGGATCCCTTATCCCCTTTTAATGAAAATATTCCATGTGCGTTGGTAGGCATTGTTCTGTTTACTTCCTCGCAAAACAAAAGTGGGATTTTGAGTTGTATCGAAAATCCAAAGTTGTGTTAGTTCAGCATCTCCTCTGCTATTTTTATGCACAGCTACTAGTAGTAGTATTTATTGATACTGGGATGTATCAAATGCCATTAGACCCATTGACATTGATAGGCATGACTTAGGCCCATTAATCTAATTTAGCTGGAAATAATCTATTATTTATTTGTCCTTTGGGCAACCCATGTTGTCTGGAAATGCTGGTTTGTATGTGAAATGGCAACTCCAATCTGCTTCCTGTCTTCCTTCAGTTCATGCTTGGGATCTTTTTCTTTCCGTTCGTAGGCAAACGTTGTAAAATCAGCATCGTTGCCCTGCTAGCTAAGCTTTCGGAATCGAGACAGGATTGGGTTCTTGACATAAGCTCATTCTGATCAGCTAAACAAGTTGACTGTTCAGTTGTAATCTTTTGATATGGCCTTTGTCCATAGGCTGCTGGTTCTGTAAGCTCCACCCTAGACAAATCTTGTGGGTTCTCTCCTCTCCCTCATCAGTTGTGGTTTTCTCTTCCATTTGATAACTTGTCTGCCTGTTGCTGTGTAGGAAACAGTTGTCTATAAATAAATATTGATTGCCTCAATCCTTTGCCAGCGCAGTGCTTTACTTCTAGCATGTATTTACCATAACAACACCCTGTGATGGATTCTAGCAAAGGCATCAATTAATATCTGGGTGCTGATTATATACTGCATATATACATTATTGATCCTAAACAGATATGGCTGCTTTCATAGTAATCTGATGAAAGCCATAATGCAGATTTTTCAAATTTTCTTTATCATGTGACTTTTGGGACATTTTGATATAGAGCACAAAGAGTGAGTTCTCCAGCATGTTCCCCTGTTTTAGGAGCAGCTTTTCCATTCAAAAAGACCCTCAAAGCAGTGTGAAAAAGCAATAAAATGCAGTTTTAAAAATCAGCAAGATTTAAGCAAGCAAATTTTCAAAATTTGGTTTTAGCACTATATGGTTCATGAACGGGAAGGAAAACTATTCAAGGGCTATCTTGCCTTGATAAAAATCTGTGGCGGGTTTTCCTCTGTTTTTTTCTGGGCATCATCGTAGTACACTGTTACATCCGTTCTTTCCCCCCCTTTTGTCCAACAGCGTCATCAGCAAAGTGGTGTCGGCACCGGAGGCTAAACCATCGGTCATGGCTCGGCCCAAGACGCCACCGCCTCCACCATCCCCGGCACCAGCTCCTGTCCACGTGACGCCGCCTCCTCCTCCAGTGGTTCTTCCTATGCCTCCTGCTATCATTTCCCCAGCTGCGATTCCACCACCGTCTCCTGCAATGCCTGCTGTGGGAGGCTCCAAGGGTCCCGTTAGGAGTGTGGTGACGGAGACTGTCAGTAATTACGTGGTATGTACATGGATGCTTTTCAGTACAAAATGTTTGTCGATTTCCCTCTTGCAAAATGCTCTCCCCAGGGAGGCTCACCAGGGGCCTTCATTAAACACCTTTAGGAGCCCAGCGAATATGTTCCTCTTCAACCAGGCCTTTGGTTGATTGACATCCGGTGCTATATATATATATATATATATATATATTCACACACACATATAAATACACACATGTGTGTGTGTGTATGTGTATATACATATGTGTATATGTGTGTGTGTGTGTGTGTATATATATATATATGTATATGTATATGTATATGTGTATATATGTGTGTGTGTGTATACACACACACACACACACACACACACACATATAATTTTTATTAAATTTTCTGTTTTACAATTTAGAGTATTCATTTAAACAACCTTAAAATATCAGTGACTTCCCTTCTTCTCTTTCCATGGTTCATTTTGCATAACATAAATCACTGCATATTTTACATAAGCTAAACCATTCAGTATTCCATTATCACATCCATCAAAACTTATTTACACTGTTGAATGTATCTGAATGCCACCAACGTTTTCGAGTGTACACAATTATTCCCCCCCCCAGTATATTCAATAAATATTTTTTCCAACCTTCTTTAAACGTATGTTCTTCTTGTTCTCTTATTCAGTACGTTAGGTCCGCAAGCTGAGCATATTCCATCAGTTTAAGTTGCCATTCTTCTTTAGTTGGGACCTCACTCATTTTCCATTTTGGGGCTAACAAAACATGGGAGGGATTTTTGGTTTCTCTTTGTTGTTGTTTTTAATGTGTTTTGTGCTGTTTATATTATAATTTTATGCTGTGGGCTGTCCTGAGATCTACAGGTATAGGGTGCTATAAGAATTTATTATTATTATTATTATTATTATTATTATTATTCCAGTTGGGGGACTCTTTGATAGCATGTCCATAAGTCCACCTGTTTCCAGCAAATCATTTCAATATCACATAAATAGTTGTGGAAATGAGACTTAAGAGCTATTAATTTTTATAGCAAACTGAACTCAAATAGCCCATGCTAAGTTTAACTTATTTGTTATGAGACCTACGTGTTCAGGCTTTGATGAACTCCTTCAAAACGATTTATGCCAAGTTTATTAAACATCCTTGTCTTCATGTTTGTAACCTTGTGAATAAAACTTAAAGTGCTATTTTGCTTTGAAGCACTTCCTAGGCTTTAGAAGGGATACACTCTTTATCCCACTTTATTTGGCTTTTGAGTGTTAAGCAATAGCCTGTATCGCCTTCTGAATAAAAGAATTTTATGTGCATTAAAAAGATGGTAGTAATCTTTGCTTAAGGACGACAGCAACAAAGAGTCAACAAGAATGTTTATTGTGAATGTTTATTGTGAAACAGGAAACTTTACTGAGGCCTATTGGTAAATGTCCAAAACAAACTACAGTACATAAGATATGCATTGCTGATGTTTACTGATAAATCTGAAGGCTGACCAAGCACCTTTGGCCAATAACCAGATTTCAGCCTTATTCAGGTGGAAGTCCAGCGTTTGCCATGATAGATTCACCATATTACCCAAACCAGATTTATTTATTTTTCCATCTTGTTTTCAGCACTTACACCTGCCCTTCGGTCAGTGACAGTTATGGCAGAAATTAAATCTGCTTATTTACCAGAGGCACTTGGTTGGCATTAAAATAACCAGTGAATATCCAGGTTTTGGGCACTTGGCACTGTCCTCCTTAAAAACCTTAAGAATTCATAGCAGATAGTATCATTCACAGATTTGGACATTTATCAGATGTCTATATGCATGCTTGTGTATAAACCTGTGTGTGTGTGTGTGTGTGTGTGTGTGTGTGTGTGTGTCATTTAAAACTGAATGATAGAGCAGATATAAACAAGGAAATGTACACAACTGTATGACAGAGGACAGAGATTTATATGCCCAAAATATTAATGCACCTGTTTGATTGTGAAATCCTTTTCATAGTTATGAACTTTTAAGTAATGCAATGGATCTCATTTTTTATTACTTTGCTCTTTTCAGTACCTGTAAGAGAATTCAGATCTCTGCATTTCCAGCTTTTATCACCATACTCTCTCACTCTCTTTTTGCAGCAATCATTGGCATTTCTCATAATAAGCACATAAAGGGTGAAAAACAGATCTGTAGCTCTAAACAGAGTAGGCTTGTGCTGGGAGTCCTGACTGACTGCCTGTGTTTGCGTAATATTCACATTTCACATGTAAACATAATTGCTGTGGTGTGTTTAAGAACAAATGTTTAGCCCTCCGGGTTATATACTCAGGATTAGAGCCAGGGCAAGCTAGTTGCACCCATTGAAGATATGCTAGTTATGAATAACTTTTCACATTGGTTTCAGTAGGACCTAAGTGCAGCTAACCTGCTCTGGTTCCAGCTTAGAAACACATAAACACAACACTTAAACACACAACACACACAGCAGAAATACTAAAGACTAAGCGATCCATAAAACGAAACCTGAATGCGTGACTTTTAGGATTTCATGAGGTTTTAGCAAACGACCACAGCTCTTTTTGCTGGGTGCCATATAAATCTGGCTCAGAAAATATCAGAGGTCTAGGCAAAGAGATTCAGAGAGAAAGGAAATAGAAAATAGGAGTGTGAAAGAGAAAGGAAGTTCCCTCCTCATGTTACAGGTGAACAACTGAACCACAGGAGGAGTTACTGATCTTGTAGCCAAACAGGAAGTCTGAGGTAGGGATTTAGCTCCAGTTCATGTCTTAATCACAAAGCCACCATCTCCATCAGTGAGAACTACGGTAGAGGGACTCAAGGCCCACTTTCTAAGCCTTCTCAGTCTGTGAAGCAGGAAGGAAAACCTTGCAAATCAGTTGCTTGTAATTGATCCTTGTTTGCCTTTGGCCAGAAAGGCCCATTTTACCCAGTGTTTCCGTAACACAACTGGCCAAGCAGGTTAGACACTTCCCCGGCACTCCTGTGGACTACAGTCATTCTGCGCCTGCAGTTTTATGCTTTCCAGCATGTGAAGCTTTCCTCCTTCGCTAGCAAACTGCAGTGTAATTTCTGCACGTGATCCAGTAAACTTACAGTAATATGCTGGGGGGACCTTTTGCCTTTGAGAAAACTCGTCATAGGTACCCATTCCAGACAATCAAAGTTCCTTAAGATGGATATTGGTTGAGGAGGGACCATAGGCTGAAGGTAGAGGCTGCACAATCCCAGGTAAAAGGCTCTGAGGAAGAAGGAGAAGGAAGGTATTATGCCATTCCAGTCGGAGGAAACAATATCGGGCTAGATCACGGATGGGGGATCTATGGACCTACAACTCTCATCATCCTCTGATCATTAGGCATGCTAGCTAGGGCTGACGGAACCTGGAGGCACTCCATCGTTACACCAGAGTAACCAGTGGCCTACTTCAGTATAAGGCGACTTGATTTCATGCGAGGGTTCATTCATTTTATTTTATGTCTCGCCTCCTTTCCATCATGGAACCCAAGGTGTTATGCATTGGGGTCTCCCATCTGGGCACTGACCAGACCTTGAATAAGAATAAGAATAATTTATTACTTGTACCTCGCCCATCCAACTGGGTGGCTTCCAGCAGACTGTTAACAACAACAACACATCAGACAATAAAAGCTTCCTGGTACAGACCTAAGGCAGACATAGTGGTCGCTTCCTGTGCTTACGTTTACATCCTGCCTTTCCTCTAAGGAACTTGAGTCAGCCCACTTGATTCGGCCCCCTTTTTACTTCCACAGCAACTCTGCGGTTCGGGGTAGGGTGAGAGGTGAGCAGCTAGCCCAAGGTCACCCATCAATCTTTGTGTAGGAGTGTGGATTTAAATTTGTGTCTCCCCAGCCCCTAGTCCAGCACTCAGAGACCCAAGCCGTGGGGTTTTCTTTTTCCAGTGAGAACACTCAACACCTTTTGCATTTGCATCCATAGAAGCATTTTAAACCCCCCAAGTTATAAAATAAAGCAGCCACGAGGAAGGGTTGGCTGTGTAGCAAAAAGGACGACACAAATCTCTCCGTGTGTTCATAATTATCTGTATCCTTTCTTGCACATGAAGCTTTTCACATAAGTTATGAAGTCATCTAAGTCTAAAAAGGGGCGAATTTCATGATTTCTATCAGATATTTATTCAGTTAATACTTGCTTTGTCAACTGTTTTGTAAACTTACCCTATAATTTCATTTATCAGATTTATCTTTATAGAGCTCTATTTATTTTATTTATTTTGTAAAAACAAACTTTTAAAGAGCGATGACATGAGAAGCTCGTTGTACATGCTATAGAAATTACACATGCTATAGACATTACCCAAAGCAGCTTGCTATGGAGACAGCTGCAATGTACGGCATGGCTGGAAACGTCGTTATTTTGTCATATTCTGAATATGCTTCCATATTGAACGGAATAGGCAGATTCCACCAGCCTGTTTCTGAATGCTGTAAACCTTCTACAGCTCTCTCTCTTTTTTCCATTTACCCTTCAGTAAACGGAGCCACGGCACAAATGTCAAAGGAATGGAAAGTTACTCAGTAACAATTTTTATACCCTTGATCTTATCAGTTAGTTGAGCTGGAAGAGTTTGGCTAATAAGTAATAACACAGCAGTACCTGCACCCCAGACTGTATATATTAGGGACACGTCATCAAGATTGTCTTCTGCAGTTTGTGCTGCGCTTGAACCACTGGAATAAACGAATGGAGATTTTTTTTCATTCACTGCGGCAAGCAAATATCAAAGCTATACCCCAAAACAGTTAGTGGTGCCTCTACCCCACCCACCAGTCAGAAATATTTTGCACACATATCGACACGCAGGCAGAGGTGCGAGATGTCGGCATATATGGGTCGTGATCTTTTATGGGTGAAGAAGAGCCGCTCCCTGACTTACAGAAGATCCTCCACCAAGACCTTCTTTCTCTTTCTTGTGTGTGAAAAGGCAATGTCCCCCTGCACAACATTCATTATATCTTGTGGTCAGCTTAGCGGTCTCTGCTGGCCTGGATTATGAGATAAAATGGCACATCACAAGTTTCTACCATTAGATTTGGGAAGTGAAAGTCCCCTTTTTAGACTTCTAATAATCAGGATATCTTGGGCTGTGTGTGCACTGGGTTTCTACCTTCCTGGAAGTGACATGGAAATACTGCAACTATTTTGGGGTACTTTCTAGTATTCAGGAGGTCTGAACAGGTACCAGATTTCAGCTTCCTGAGTCATGTGGAAGTGCAAAGCCGTTATGTATATGTATATATTGTTGTTGTTTAGTTGTTTAGTTGTGTCTGACTCTTTGTGATCCCACGGACCAGAGCACTGTCTTCCACTGCCTCCTGCAG